AATTCAAACGGCGATTGATGCGGTGAATTTTGACAGAATCTCTCATGCTGAATCGACGAATGAGGTATGGGATATTATGAGTCGATGGAAGAAGACAAAAAGATTGCATGTTATGTGTCAAAGGTGCAGAAACTCATCAATCTTATGAAGGGTTGTGGTGAACCCTTAGTGATAATATGATAGTTGAGAAGGTAATGCATAAGTTGACTTCTCACTTTGATCATATTATCGTAGCTATTCAAGAATACAACAATCTTGAAACCCTAAAATTTGAAGATTTGGTTTGTTCATTGGAGGCGCATGAGATTAAGATTGTCGATAGGAAATGGGTTCAAGAGTCGATACAAGCACACCAGGCTCATGCATGAAATATGAATGGTTATTCCAACAAGTTCAATGGCAAATGAGAAAAGACTCAGATCAAGAAGTCTTGGTAGAATCCGTGTAAGAATAAGGTTGATGATAGGGCTTCTGAATCCTCAAAAAGAGGAGAAGGAAATTCTTATCAGAAAGACAAAGAGAAAAATGGTGTGCAGTTCTACAAATGTGAAAAGTGGGGTCACTTAGCCAAGGATTATTGGTACAGGAAAGACATGGGATCAACTAAAGGCAAAGACGAATGAGTGAACCTTGGACGCCAATATTTAGATGATTCTGGAGTTATGGTGGTTATGGCTGCAGTTGTAGATAACCATGTTGAATCCAAGATCTGGCTCCTTAACTCAGGCTGCTCGAATTACATGATTGATTGAAAGATGTGGTTAGCATATTTTAACGAGTCGAAGAAGAGTAAGTTAAACCTTGCAGATAATAGCTCGGTGTAAGCAGAAGGTACTGACAACATAGTTTTTCAAAGGAGTAATAGAGTGAAAGCTATGATCAAAGATGTACTTTATGTATCTAGAACAAAGTGCAATCTATTAAGTGTTGGACAAATGGTCTAAAAGACTATGTGAAGGTTGTTTAGTCAGAAATAAATCCAAAAAAAATTTCTTCAAAAATGCCAATGAGATCATCCTGCATACTCAAAGTTGTACATTTAGATGTATGGGGCCCGTTCAAAGAGCAAACCATTAGTGGAAACATGTATTTTTTTTGTTTGTCGATGAGTATAGTTAAAAGCTATGGATCTATGTGATAAAGAGAAAGGAAGAAGTATTTGAAATCTTTAAGAGATTCAATATAAGTGTCGAAAACTAGAGCGAGAAGAAGATTAAAGTTCTGCGAGCAAATGGAGGTGGCGAATACACGTCCAAGATGTTTGAATATTTTTGTGCAGAACATGTGTCGATCATGAGGTAACTGCTCTTTATACTCCTGAACATAATGAAACTTCAGAAAGAAGAAACATGACCATATTGAATATGGCGAGATGCATGTTGAAACAAAAGAATTTCCAAAATCCTTATAGGGTGAAGCTGTTTCAACTGCAGTTTATATTTTGAACAGGTTCCCTAACATGAAATTAAAGAACAAGGTTCCTGAATAAGTGTGGAGTGATAAATGATAACTAGTGAGTCATTTGAAGGTGTATGGATCTATATGTTAGCAAGCATGTTCATGATGCAAGAAGAAGGAAGCTTGATGACAAGAGTGAACATATGATTCTGGTAGGATATCATAAAACTGATGCATACAGGTTATTCAATCCAATTAATGAGAAGTTTGTGTTGAGTTAAGACATTGTAATTGATGATCATTATGCCTGGGATTGGAACTTTTAATGATTCAATTAACAAGCCATTGACGAGCTATGGATTCGACAAAGAAACTGATGAAGTCAAAGTCGAAGAAATTATTGATATTCCAGTCAAAGTCGAAGCAGTTGCTGACATTCCCTAAATTGTTGAAGTTGAAGAGGGTGTGGTTAGCATAGGCCAAAGACCTCAAAGAACTAGAGTTTGTCCAATAAGACTTCAAGACTATGAAGTGATTGGTGATGATGAAGTAACACCAGATGAAGAATTGGTTCATTTTGCTTTACTAGCACATGCTTAACCAATCGACTATAGGGAGGCCTTAAATAATAAACAATGAAAGTTAGCTATGGTCGAAAAGTTACAGGAAATTGAAAGAAACAACACATGGGAGTTAGTCGAATTTCCAGCACACACAAAAGCTATTGAAGTAAAGTGGGTGTTCAAATTGAAACGCAATGTTGATAGGTCGATAATAAGACATAAGGAGAGATTGGTAGCTCAAGGATTTCTTCATAGAGCAAGACTCGACTACTCTAACTTATTTTCTCCAGTAGCAAGATTGGAGATTGTTCGACTAGTGGCAGCCTTGGCATACAAGCAAGACTGGTCGATATTTCACTTAGATGTGAAGTCAACATTTTTAAATGGACCCTTAGACGAAGAGGTCTATGTCACACAAACTTATGGGTTTGTGATTCAAAAGGAAGTGAGTAAGGTGTATAAGTTGCACAAAACACTCTATGGCTTCAAACAGACACCTAGGGCATGGAACAAGAAAATTGGCTCATACTTAGTCAAATTGGGATCCGTCAAATGCAAATCAGATTATAGTGTTTATGTTCAGATTGTGGCACAAAATATAATAATAATCAGCTTATATGTCGATTACTTGCTGGTAACTAGAAATAGCTTGGAGAACTTATCGAAGTTCAAAGTGATGATAATGAGTGAATTTGAAATGTAGGATATGGGAAAATTGTCTTATTTCCTAGGCATGGAATTTTAAATGTTGAAGCAAGGAATGGTGCTACATCAAAGGAAGTATGTCAAAGAGATACTCAAGATATTCACGATGGATAATTCGACTTTAACATCTTCGCTCGTCGAACCAAATATGAAGTTGGAGAAGCATTGAGAGAAAGGCAAAGTCAATATAACTTTGTTTAAACAAATAGTTGGATCTCTGGGGTATGTATGCAACAGTCGACCTGATATAGATTTCGCAATCAGATTAGTACGCAAATACATGAGTGAACCAAGGGTGTTGCACATGAAGGATGCAAGAAGAATCCTAAGATACTTAAAATGATTGATAAACTGTGAAATTCTATTTCGACGAGATTCTGAATGCAAAGAAGCTACAACTACTTTCTTTTCAGATGCTGATTGGTGTAGAGATAAGAAAGATCAAAGAAACACAATTGGTTATTTCATTCAAGTCGTTGGTTCCCCAATTGCATGGTGCTTGAAAAAGCAACTTGTGGTGGCATTGTCATCGTGTGAGGCTGAATATATAGCAGGATCATATGCTTCATGTCAAGCAATTTGGATTAGATCTGTGTTGGAAGAGATCGAGGTGAAAGTGAAGAAACCTCTGGTGTTGCAGATCGACAACAAGTCAGTTGTCAATCTTGTAAAGAATCCAATTTTGCATGGAAGGAGTAAGCATATCGAGGCTAGATTTCACATCTTAAGGGAGAAGGTAAATCGAGTTGAACTTAAAGTAAGGCATTGCTCAAGAGAAGCACAGTTGACCGATATTTTCACCAAAAAGATTGAAGATCGGCCAATTCCTGAAATTGAGAAAGAAATTTGGAATAGTTCATATCGACTATGATTAACGTAGGTTTGATAACTTGGATTATATAGGAGTATGTTAAGATATTAGATATAATCCAAGTTGAGTAAATCAAAGCCGGAGCCCAATTTGGACTTGTTATCCTATTTAGTGTATAAATTAGTTGTATATAAATAAACATAGTTTGTAATCCAATTTATACAATTCAATTTAGTAATAGAATCCTTATTTCTTTATTATCTCTTATTCTCTCCTCGTTAGAAGTGTCTCATACACTAACGTAATAATGGTTCAAATATGTTAGATGAAATAGTGGGGGTGAAAATGTCTAGATAAATTTACAAGACTCTATTAAAGTATACAATAATTTTTATAAGTAAAACTATTATATTTTAGTAAAATTATAAAATTTTAATTTTAATTAAAATTTATAGACATTTAAAAAATACAAATTTAGTATTAAATTAATGTAATCAATTTTTTTTAAATTAATAATAAAATCAAATAATTTAATGTTTTTTATGAAAAAAATTGAATTTAGATATGATCTAGTTTAATTCTAGTCAAAAGAAAATATGACTAAGTTTGCGCATATGCTGAACAATGGTTCAAATATACTAGATGAAATAGTGGAGATTGAAAAATATCTAGATTTTAGAAGGGAATAAATTTTTAATCCATCATGAAAGCCTTAAGAAAAATTTACAAGGCTCTATTAAAGTATATAATAATATATATGTAAAATTATTAAACTTTAGTAAAATTATTAAATTTTAGTAAAATTATTAATTTTAAGTTTTTATTTAAAATTTATAGACATTTAAAATACAATTATAGTATTAAATTAATGTGATCAATTTTATTTTAAATTAATAATAAAACCAAATAATTTAATATTTTTTATAAAAACATTGAATTTAGATCTGATCAAGTTTGATTTTAGTCAAAAGAAACTAATTTAATTAATTTTAACTTTTAAAATTGCAATTCTTTTATGAAAATGTTGAATTTACATGCCTCTATTTTTTTTTTAATATGTTTATGTCATATATTATTAGATGTGAAATTTTTAATATACTATCTCACTCTCAGGATAATTATCTGAAACGTGAAAATATATAATAAGTGGTCTGAGAATAAAAACTAGATAGCAGATGGTTTAATAAATTTTAAAACAAATTCAAATATTATGATAAGAAATAACGTTTAAACTTAACTCATCTTTATCAATCTGATCTATTGAGCGAGGGTTGTTTTTACTTATAATTATATTATATTTAAAGTATATATTATCTAATGTTAGACCCTGTTTATACATGCATACATCTGCAAGAATTATCACTGACGGATAGTATGAATATTTTAAAACATTATGTTTGGACCAACTCAAAGTAATTAATGGCAGAAAATAAACTAAAATAGTCAAACATTTTAAAAATTGTACAATACTTTTTATTGATGAATCTCCCATGGAAGATGATATTCTTCTTGACCCTAAAATTTTAGTTGATTAAAAGACTACTCCTTTGTATCTTTGGTGGCTCAGAAAGCTGATTCCCTTCATTATCATAGAAAATTGCACCTGGAAATTCCAATGGTTGACATTTCTCTCCCATTAATATGGTCTTCTTCCACAAGCATTTATCATCTTCTTGCTTCTTCATTTTCATAAGGTGGTTATGGATTACCTTATAGAATTTCTTGATGATGTTCTTTGAGCTCGTTGATAACTCCTTTTGTTGTTTTTCATTGAAGCCAATAATTGCCTTACAGATCTTATTTATAATCTTGTTTGAGGTATCAATAAGTGATGACATTGGAATAACTATTTGATTTGATAAATATTGGTTATAATGATTTGATGTGGCCCCCCATCCATGATTTGGACATAGACAAGTGATGTGGAGGGAAACTGATGGTGTGGTTTCTAAACCGTTTCTGATACGACGCAAACTATTCATCTTATGAATGAGATGCCTAGGACTGGTTGGTAAAAATAAAGTGAGAAATAAGGGGGGTATTTATGCATAAATTTATTCAACTTTTTTATTTTATAAGGAGTGACATCACATTCATAATTATAAAATAAATTGCTTTTTTAATAAAGAAATATTACAATAAATTGGATTTAATATAAAAACTTTTTCTATTCAACGCATAAAACGTCAATTTATTTGCTTTTAAAATAATTGTCATATATAAACATTAAATATTTTCAATATATATATATATATATATATATATATATATATATATATATATATATATATATATATATATATATATATATATATATATATATATATATATATATATATATATATATATATATATATATATATATATATAAGAAAATAGATAAGGATGACAAAGCAATCTTGCTAGACCATTATAACATTCGATTCAACTTTATATTTAGGGTTTAAAAATTTTTCATACACAAGTACATTTTTGTGTAGACACCATCTATTTATACACATATCCGTTTATCTGTATTTTTAATAATATTATGTATTTTTAATAAAATTATCGATCAACTAATTTATATATAATTATGAATTATTAACAATATTAAAAAAATTCAAAAATATTATTATTTACTTAAGAAATAAATAAACTCTTGTATTTAAACAGATACAATTTTAATTGTAATGAATTTAATAAAATCGATAATCATAAATTAGAATTTAATAATAAAAAATTATAAAAATATATATTGTGTAGATATGAAAAAGAATGTATATTAAAATATCAATATTTATACTTATACTCATTTATTTTATTAATGAATAATTTTGTGTGGTCATATTCATATTCATTTTGTGAATTTTTAACTTATTAGATTTAAATAATTTTTGTGAATCAAAATAGTACATTGGCATCTCTAAAAATAGGAGATGACAATATAAAATAATTTTACACACTGTAATCCAATGAGCATGGTATACTCTACAAAATTACACATATATTTTACATTTAAATTCATCTCCATAAAATTGTATTTAGAAATTTATAAATATTACTATAGAAATAAAAATTTCTAAAATTTATAAATAATATTTAATAAATCACAATAACTAATATTTAATTTAATTGATGTGATGAAAATAAAATTTACATTTATCATGCAATTTTACTATGCATATATAAAAATTACATAATGAAATTAAATAAACTTTTATGCACATATTAAATAAAATTACATAATTTTATTATATACATATATTTATTTGTAAAATAATAAAAACGAAAATAGAATTTTTTTTGCAATAACTAGGTATTGAATTTTTTGTTGTTGCAAATAACCATGTTTCAGAGAAAATTACGCAAATAACAGTGTTTCAGAAAATCTCACAAAGGAGGAGTCAAATGAGATGGCGCATGCACTAGCTCATTTGTCTTAGGCGTCATCTCACTTAGCGCATGCACTCTCTTTTAGTCAAGTAAGATGGCGCATGCACTCTAAAAGTGAGAGGAAACGTCATCTCACTTGGCTCCTAGGGCAAAATGCATTTTTTATAAATAATTCCTCCGTTTCTCCGTCATTCTTCACACTTTCTCGCACTATCTTCTTATTTTTTTTCTCTGTTATTTGCCTCATGATATCTCCCATGATTTTTACCAGAGATGGTTACTTTATTTTCTCGGCCATCAAACCTCCAATGAAAATGAAATTTTGACACATTCACTTTATGGAGCGTCTTAAGAGAGAGTTAATGTGATGGCTAGAGGAAGACATCGAGGATGGGGACCAAATTAGAAGGATCCAACGAAGAAGAACAACCACCTCACGTGCAACATGAAGACCTAATTTTTGGTTGGAGGAAGTCAAAATAGACAGTGACGTAATGTTGATGATGCATGCGTCAGATGAAATTGCTTTAACGGTTGTAATTTCTTAGACGTTTTATCGTGTTTTATTTGTTGTTTGTGCAAGGTTTGTTGTAACAAATGCTATTAATGAAAACTATAATGTTTATAACTTAAAAAAGTAAAGATGTTTTGTAATACAATTTTTATGTGGTTGAGCCAGTAGCCCGAGTCAGATAATTTTTGCAATTGTGTCCGACCTGACGACATAAACCACACTTTCTTTATAGCTTGTCAAGGGAGTCCATTTCAGTTGTGATGCGCTTGCTTTTGGGACGACCCTTTTTATTCCTTCGTATTTGGTCATTGTGCCATACTATTTCGCCGTTGTATGCAGGCCAATAATCAGGTTTTGCTACCAAAAGGAAGTTGTTGTTGTATACGTTGAGCAAGGTTTCAGACTTGTAAATGGGAGACAGAAGTTGTAATGCGTCTTGATGAGTATAGGTACACGCAACAATGACATGAGAGCAAGGCATACGAAAGGCTTGAAACGTGCCACAATCGCACCAATGATAAGGTAGTATAAACCTATACTTTTGTCTCGGTAGCCCCTTGTTATGGTTGATTGTCTCTTTGATAATGAAGTTGTGGCCGTGTCGGTCAAACCATATAACCAGATGGGTGTTGGATTTGGCACTTTCTTCCTTAATATACTTCATGCAGCTTTCACTCCATAGTTGTCCCGATTGTAACATAACATTCCATATTTCACCTCTTTTGGAAAACAACGAAGCCATCCTAAAATATGTTGATTTAACCAAAGCAGTTACTGGGAGGTTTCGTATGCCTTTGAATACCCTGTTCATGGATTCAATCAGATTTATTGTCATGTGGCCCCATCATTGTCCATTATTGTATGACCTAGTCCATTTCTTAACCAGAATGTTATCGATCCACCTAACGGCGTCTGGATTTGACAATCAGATCTCATTGTGATAATATTTGCACGTAAGTTATGTTAATGCATACCCTGCATTTATATCCGCTTTCCTAAGAGATTTGTCTTTGATCTCCCTCGTGAAATTTTGGACGATATGTCTAATGCAATAGATATACGTAGAAAGAGGGTCATGCCAACCGTTTACAGGATTGTTGTATGCACTCTCAATAGATGCATGTCTATCAGAGATCAAACAGAGATCTAGTTTAGGATCCACGTATGTTCGGAGATTCTTGAGAAAGAAGCTCCAAGCACCACCAGTCTCTCCCTCGACTAGGGAAAAGTCAATTGGGAAAATATTGTTGTTTCTATCTTGTGCAATTTCCATCACTAGCGTGCCTTTGTATTTCCCATACAACCAACTCCCATCAATTTGAATAATTGGTTTGCATGATGCAAACCCTCTGATGCAAGGTTGAAAAGCCCAGAACAATGGACTGAATATTCCATTTTCTGTGAGTTGACTACCATCTGGGGCGTACGCCGGCAGTGTTTCCATAATGTAAACAGTACCCGGAGAATAAGTCTAAAGTGCATTCAGGTAGCAAGGAAGTTATTTGTATGACTCCTCCCGATTTCCATTTACCTTTTCAATGGCGCCTCCCTACACGTCCAATCGTATTACATGCATGCAGAGATGCCTTCCCCAAGGGTTCCACCTAGCCTGCACCTACACTACAACCCATGCCACCTATAATTCTCCAACAGGGATGGCGATACCTTTCAATTTTGTACTCATTCGCCAATTCCAATGGCGCCTCCCTATACATCCAATCGTATTACATGCATGCAGAGATGCCTCCCACGAGGCTGCCACCTAGCCTGCACCTACACTACAACCCATGCCACCTCTAATTCGACAACATGGATGGCGAAGCCTTTCAATTTTGTACTTATTCGTCAAGTCCAATGGCGCCTCCCTACATGTCCAATCGTATTACATGCATGCAGAGATACCTTCCACAAGGCTGCCACCTAGCTTGTACCTACACTGCAAGAGTGACACTTATCATGCATGCATGCACCCATCAACCACCTCACTTATTCACTATGTGATAAAATTTTTCCTATAAATACAGAGCCTCGCGTACTTCTTTTTCATCCATAATTATCTCACTCTCTTCTACAAACTCTTTCATAATCTCAGATAATTTCAACAATGACTTTTCTCACAATGGGCGATTCTCACAGAGGCACAAGGGACAATATTGTAGCGTTTGTAAGTTTCTTGTATACTTATAACTTTTTCATACTTTTATTAATGATTTATACATCTTATGGAATCTTACACTTTTTACATTCTTAATTTAGAATACTAAAAGATTCAGAATCTGGTCACACAACTACCTTGCTCCTGACCCATTGATCGTGCCCTATCTCGAATATGCAGGTTTCGGAAATGTTATAAAGATCTCCAATTGCATGATTGATTCAAAGTTCATACTTGCAATATTGGAAAGGTGGAGACTAGAGACCCACACATTTCATCTACCAATAGGTGAATGTACTGTCACACTAGAGGACGTGTACATGTTATTGGGTCTCCTTGTTGATGGTAAGGAGTTTAACGGGTCGGTTTAACAGCCCAATTCTCTATGTGAGTAATTGTTGGGAAAGGATATGGTTGAAGGTGGTGGTGCGAGAGGTCAGCGTATACTACTTACTGAACTCAAAAATCATTATGCGACTCTGGAGTTGAACGAAAATTCCTCCGAGCTAGCTAAGGTAATAAAAGCTAGAAATTACATAATGATACTTTTTGGAACCTTTTTATTTCCCGGAAGTACAGGGAATAGTGTAAATTTCTTGTATTTAAATTTACTTAGAAACTTTGAAAAAACTAGAAAGTATAGTTGGGGTTCTATTGTTTTAGCCCATCTATACAGTTCCTTGTGTAAAAATACAATCAAGGAAAAATGTACTTTTTATGGATGCGCTTTTTTACCTCAAGCCTGGGGTTGGTGGAGAATGGAGTCCCTAAACCCTGTCAACAACAACAGATTCGTTTTCCCATACGCAACAAAGTAAGTCAATAACTTATATCATTTATTATTATTCATCTCTTCACCAAATATATAATAAAAATAAAATATTTTTCAATTCCTTTAGGTACTGCATGAGGGGTATGGATTATGGTAAGAATCAAGA